AGGCAAGGGTCCACGATCCGTGGTGGACCACATTAATTAATTAAAGGGATTTCTAATCAAATTAAATCCTTTTTAATTATTATTAATGAAATTAATTAAATAATTAATTCGGGATTAAAGGCCGTAACACGGGGTGTTACACCACCTCCACCACCACCCCCTCCGGGGGTGCGTGGTTGTCCAAGTACTCATGTGCCCCTAGTGCCAGAGGCTCAGATAGATGTATATGTTAACCACCTCGGCCTTCGGATAGACGAGAGGAGGGTGACACCAGCAGAGGTCGGCGGGAACACCGGGAGGAGAGAAAACCTCTGCCAACGCGGACCGCGTCTGCCTTAGGATGGTTGGGCCCTCGAGTACCAGCCAGGGACCGCCTTGGGCCGAGGCCGACCACGAACGGTCTGCCCGCAGAGTCGTCACTCTCCCGAGGGTCCCGCAGTCAAAGCCCCATGTACCAAGACACCGAGAGAAAACCTCACGGATGGCGCTCGGGGGAAACCGGTGGCCGACCCCCAAGCTCCAATCGCGACGAGGTACGAGATGAATCGCCGAAGCCCTAGGATGACCCTGGTGGCAACAACAACCGTCATGGCGGGTCGGCTCCACTCGCCCCACCTTAGGTCTCGGGTCTCCAAGAGGGATAACCACGATCTATCAAGCCGCAACACTATTGACCCGCCTCGTGGAGGGTCTCCCAAGAAGTGTCCAACCTCCTCCACTCGGCCTCGATGCGTCTTAGGAGGCCCCATTCTTCCTGAGGTGTTCTATGGCCCCACATTGCTAACCCCACTTTGGTTCATGGCCGACCTCAACTTGATCAAACCCTCATTTTGTCGGGCACCAGACTCGGCTTGTCTCGAGTATACATACGTATGATTTCCGAGTTCACACCAGAGAGCTCATCCTACTCCCATCCTCAGAGAAACCAAGCTCAAGGCTTGTTGAGTTCAGCTCAAGGGTGTAACACCCCTGATTTTTAAGACATTTTAAGCTTATATAATAGAGGTAATATCTCATTACATCCCAAAGTGTATCATAAGTGTACGGGGTGCTATGCCACACCTGGGCTAGAGAACCCAGGTGCACAGGCTGTCTAACTAGTATCCATTGAAACACAATGCATAATATGGCGCGCAGGCCGAAAAGGGAAACTAATCCACTTCTACGTTCCAGTTCTAGCGCGCTCCAGTGCTCTAGTCCTCTGTGCCTGAAAGCCAAATATATCTGTTCAGCGAGAGATGCTGGTAACCCACTCCAACGCGTTGAAATACAATACATATAGAGATTTATATAGATATACGAAAACCATTTTGAGCATGAAGATATATCCTACGAACTCTAGCTTTAAAACCGGGAATGACTCGACAGATAAGGCCAGAAACAAGCAACAGTTATAACGAGCATATGCAGTTCACAACAGATAAGGCAGATAAGGCAAAGCATAAACAATGATCATAACCCAACATGAACAATCCCCAATATAAATCCCATAGTCACATCCCCCAAGACACTCGTAATCACAACTCGTCCATGTCACAACACATAGCACACTTTGTTGGCGCCACAGGACCAATCGCATGCCCATACATGAGGGTCAGCGCATATAGCTCTGACACGGAGGGGTCGATCGCAACACGGAGGGGTCGATCGAACCGACCGATGAACCGCAGCTCATCATAGTGTTTGATCGCAACCAAACAGTAGACCGCAGCCCAAGAGAATGTCATCTGACCGCAGCCAGGAAAAAGGACGAACCGCAGCTCGTATAGAAACGTTTGATCGCAACCAAACGGTGGACCGCAGCCCAAGAGTATCAATCTGACCGCAGCCAGCTTCTGAACCGCAGCTCAGGATAACCAATCCGATCGCAACCGAATTGGGGTAACACCCACACATAACACATAGCAAGCACATGCAACCCATATTACACATTGGGAAGGGGGAGAAAGCGCATAACAAAACCTATGTGTGATCCATCACATACTAAGAATAGTCCTAAGGGGTTCATACTCCTTCCACCTAGGTCAACGGGATACCAATTCAACTAGCATGCAATATAATAGACTCATAAACCTACGAACGGTACCCGAAACATCAAACTAGACATAGGCACGATAAACGGAGTCCGTTGGGACACCACGGGGAACAGGGGAACATCAAACGGGGAAGCCGGGAACTCAAGGTGGAGGAAATTCCGGCGGGTAGCCGGTGGGTGGGGGCCACCCGCCGGCTGCCCGCCGGAAAGTACTGTTCCGGGCAGCGGGTCGCCGGCGGGCAGCTGCCCGCCCGCCGGCCACCCGTTGCCGGGCGGTGTTTCACGGCCGTGGGTAGGTGGCGGGTCCCCTACCCCCCACTGACTCTTTTCACACACTTTACGCCCCGGGAACCGTTGTGGAACCCAAAACCATGCTTAGACACTTTACGACGCAATTAACGACAACACGTAGACAATTAACGAATCAAATACAAGAAACGAACGGCACATAACCTATCATGTTTTTCTAAATATAATCAAAACCCAAACATGCGATTTCCCCACCCGATAATCCAAGAATAAGATCATACGATACAACCTAGGGTTCTAATCACTTTTATATCAACAAGAATACGGTTCGTCTTCTAATTGCAAGATTCGATAAGAATAACTCATAAACATCAAGAGCATCCCACAATTATCAAGAACAACACATAATCATCAAGAACTCCATATAATCATCAAGAACACCATAATTATCAAGAATCTCCCAATATCAAGATTATCAAGATTCCCCATGGGATCATCACATCAATTACCAATAATAATCATCATAACTCGCCAATATACAATAATATGGGGAAACCCTAAGGGGGAATTATAACTATGAAAATAGGTTTTGTTGAGACATGGGTTACCTCTTAGCCTTAATTAATTCCTTGGCTATGAAGGATCTTTCTTTAAGCTTCCTTGCTTTCTTGATTTCTCCTAAGGGGATTCTTGGAGCTCTTTTGGGGTGGTGGGGCATTAATCTTGTGGGGAGTTCTAGGTGCCTCTTAAGTCCCCTATTTATATATTTAGGAGTCCTAATTAGGAACTAATATTATTGGTTTGCTAATTCTATTCCTTTTGGAACTAAGGATTGGGCTTGGGCGTTGGGTTTATATATGAGGGCCCATGGACTATGGTGGGCCTTTTTCCCTAATTAATCATTATAATTTATTCTTTCTCTTGGGCTATTGATTAATTAGTTAAATGGTTTTAGGGGTCGTAACACGGGGTGTTACACTCTCCCCCCCTTACAAGGGGCTTCGTCCCCGAAGCCCGGTGTTATAGTCCATCCTTTCACCCCTAGACACCTCGTAGCTCGGCCTCCTGATTAGGGTTGCGGCCTTACGTTTGTCTTGGCTTGGGGTAGGCTGAACTTTTGATGGTGTTGTGATAGAGAAGTTTCGGGTGTACCTCGGTTTCCTGCGCTGGAACTGGACGCCCCACGAGTGCCCAAGGCGGCCTCGATTGCTGCCACCCTCTGATCGAGTACGTGTGTGGTGCGAATCAAGGATGAGAACCCTTCTTCCATGATTTGGTTCTGTCGGTTGAGTTGTGCGAGAATGCGCTCATTGACCGAACCCTCATCCTGTCCCCTCGGGTCCCCTCCTGACCGTGGGTGCACTGACGGGTTAGGCCCGTCATCCTCCTCCTGTTCCTTATTTCCCTCCGAGCCCCCACAATCTTGCATGGCTCGCTTGAGCTTCTTGTTGGAGATGTCCAACCGGTCAACCAATTCTCTCCGCTCTTCCTCGGGTTTTTGGCAAATTTCTTCGAGGGTGAGGTAATGTCCCCCTTCGGTGTAGTAGATGTCGTTGCGGCGAAGGTTTTGAGCATTGAAAACCATACCATTGGCGGTTTTGACCTCGGTGTGGCTTAGGTCCACCCCTTTCTTTTCCATGATCCAACTTAGGATCATCCCGTAGGGTAGACTAAGCCGGTTGTTTGTCTTCCAGAATTCCATGTGCTTTAGCATGAGTGCCGGCAGGTTGAACTTGATTTTATGTTTTAAGAGATAAGCAAAGGTGCACTCTAGGCTCCCTACATCCTTGCTTTTATTATTGGTGGGCAAGAGGCTATCGGTTACAATCATAACCAATATCTTTTGTTCTGCCGATAGCCACTTCCGATTTGGCCGTGTGGCCGAGGTGAACCCGTCCTCCTTCCCGAGTAGGTACTCAAGGTAGTCCTTGTATCCCGTATTTTGGGTATCAATCCACCCCTTTCGGTCATAGTTAGACACACCCGTGGTGGTCAATTTCAAGAGCTTGGCCAAACGGCATTCGGAAAGCACAATTTCCTTGCCACGGACTTTGGTGGTGATTTCTACCTTGTCACCCCGTTTGGTTGCTACAAGGTGTTGATAGAAATCCTTCACCAATTCGGGGTACGTATCCCCTTTGATGGTGAGATACGTATCTAAAAGCCCTTGATGTTTGAGCATATCAACCAATTCCGGAGAGAATTGGTCGGGTTCAAGTGCTTTACCTCCGATCACGGTGTAATCAGTGTTGCTCCACTCCGGAGTGCGGGTTCCGAGGGGTTTCTTTGGCATCGTGGTGCTTCAGTTGATGGCGACGTTTTCCGGCGTTTTTCCGGCGATCTTCTTTTCCGGCGAGGCGGCGGCGGTTTTCCGCCGTGTTTTCCGGCGAGATGGCAGTGGTGTCCTGGCACGATTTTTCCGGTGGGGTCTCCGACGGTGTGGCGTCGCGAGGTGGTGGCGGCTAGGCGGTTCTGGGTTGGTGCGACGGCGTGGGGGTGGCGTTTGGGCAGCGGGTTGCAGCTGGGTGGCGTTCGGGTGGATAGCGGGTGGTCTCCGGTGGCTCGGTTTGGGTGGCGGCGAGGCGGGGCGAGGTCGGCGGGGAGTGGCCGGGCGGTGGCGGCGTCCGATTGGCGATGGCGTGAGGTGATCGTGGGTGGTTGCTATGGTGGGGCAGCGGGGTGTGTGAGAGGGAGGAGGAGAGGGAGTGGGGAGGAAGAAGAAGAAGAAGAAGAAGAAGGGTTTTTGATTTGGGGATTTTGTGGGTTTTAGGGATTTGGAGGGGTTTAACAAGGGAGTATTCCCTTGAAGTTTCAAGAAACACTCATGGCTTAGTGGTTGAGGCTTTAACTTATAGAGGGGAAGTCCAAGGTTTTATTCCTAATGGTAACATTAAGTATTTCTTTATGGTGTGGTTTTTGTCTTTTTCCTTGTTTCGTCCTTTAGTGGAGAGAAGGTTGGGTTGATAGTTTAACTTGTGTTTTACCTTTGTAGTGGAAATTGGAATTTGATCAAAAATCTTTATTCATAATAATTCCGAAATAGCTAAGCTAAGTAAGTGGTCTTTATGACAAAAGAGGGGGGTGGTTACAAGGGGGTGTGACGGCTTATCCTAGACAGTATTCGTCTTCTTGGTTTTCTTCTGCGGGGTCCGTATGGTCCTCGTCTTCCGGGATTGGGTTTCCCCTCCCGAGGTCCTCCTCGTTCCCGAGGTTGGCTTGAGTGTGACTCATGACAAATACTTTCCCGGGAGCGCCGTAACTCCCTTGATGATCGGTGCCCCCGTGTTGACCCACGGTGGCGGGGCGTGGTCTTTGGGGTCGAGTGCACTGGAAGGCCTTGTGTCCTTCCTCCCCGCAGTTGAAGCATCGCCAGGGATTGCCCGCGCAATCCTTGCCCCTGTGGCTTTTGTTGCATCTTGGGCAAGGGAAGCTTCTTGGATTAGCTTCGTTGTTTCCCAGGGGCGGTCTTTGGTTGGTCGGGTTGTTCGTCCTTGTGCCGGTGTCGTTTCTCGTTCTTTTCACTGGCGGTGCCCCACTTCCGGTGTTTCTTCTTCGTATTTGTTCCTGAACTCCGCGTTGGAGTAGTTGGATTCGATAGAGATTCGCGGCGCTGGAGTGAGCTTCGTTGAGGGTCCGAGGTCTGCTTACCACTAGCGCCTTCCGAGCTTCGAAGTTGAGGCCCGACACGAATCTTTCTATCTTGGTTACCTCGGTGGGGACTAGCTCTGGTGCGAAGCGTGCCAGCTCGAGGAATCGTTTATGGTATTCCACGACGGTGGCCGTTCCTTGTTTTAGATGAAGGAACTCTTCGTACATGGATGCCTTTACGTGGGTTGGGTAGAATCTCTCTCGTAGTCGTGTCTTGAGGTTCTCCCAATTGAACCCCGGTTCTTGTTGATAAGTGGGTCCCTCGTGGATCCACCAGAGATCGGCCTCGTGCCCGAAGTAGAACGAGGCTATCTCTACGCGGCGTTCCTCCGGGCATTCTACTACCCCAAAAATCTTGTCAAGGGTTCGGATCCATTCTTCTAGGACCGCGGGATCCCCTTCTCCCGAAAACGTGGGTGGTCGATGATTTGAAACTTGTCGGGCGACGTCTGAGTTTGCGTTTGATGGAGGTGGTGGGGGCCTGTTGTTGCGAAGGGCCGCGTCACTTAGTGCCTGTGCGACTTGTGTCAGCTGTCGTAGGGTTTGGGTCAAGGGGTCGTCTGTGGCGGGCTCTTGGGTTCTTGATTGCCTTCTGTTCGGTGCCATGTTATCGTCTTTCTGGTCAGTGTTTATAAGAACGTTAAATTAGAGTCTGACGTATTTCTTATGAAGTGATAAGTGGGGAAGGGTTTTAGAATGAGGAAGGGTAAAGTGTAGAGAAGTTATGTGTAGGTTTCACAATCTCACCGCGCGTCCTAAGATTCCTGAGTCCTCTGTTCCTAGGTACCTAGAGTTCAAGCCTAATGTCCTAAAGTCCGGTCTTAAGAGTCTTTTCCTAGGGTCAAACTTAGGCTCTGATACCAACTGTAACACCCCAGATTTAAGCTTATATAATAGAGGTAATATCGCATTACATCCCAAAGTGTATCATAAGTGTACGGGGTGCTATGCCACACCTGGGCTAGAGAACCTAGGTGCACAGGCTGTCTAACTAGTATCCATTGAAACACATTGCATAATATGGCGCGCAGGCCGAAAAGGGAAACTAATCTACTTCTACGTTCCAGTTCTAGCGCGCTCCAGTGCTCTAGTCCTCTGTGCCTGAAACCCAAATATATCTGTTCAGCGAGAGATGCTGGTAACCCACTCCAACGCGTTGAAATACAATACATATAGAGATTTATATAGATATACAAAAACCATTTTGAGCATGAAGATATATCCTACGAACTCTAGCTTTAAAACCGGGAATGACTCGACAGATAAGGCCAGACACAAGCAACAGTTATAACGAGCATATGCAGTTCACAACAGATAAGGCAGATAAGGCAAAGCATAAACAATGATCATAACCCAACATGAACAATCCCCAATATAAATCCCGTAGTCACATCCCCCAAGACACTCGTAATCACAACTCGTCCATGTCACAACACATAACACACTTTGTTGGCGCCACAGGACCAATCGCATGCCCATACATGAGGGTCAGCGCATATAGCTCTGACACGACCCCGCAGCACCCTGCCCCGTATCGCAACACGGAGGGGTCGATCGCAACCGACCGATGAACCGCAGCTCATCATAGTGTTTGATCGCAACCAAACAGTGGACCGCAGCCCAAGAGAATGTCATCTGACCGCAGCCAGGAAAAAGGACGAACCGCAGCTCGTATAGAAACGTTTGATTGCAACCAAACGGTGGACCGCAGCCCAAGAGTATCAATCTGACCGCAGCCAGCTTCTGAACCGCAGCTCAGGATAACCAATCCGATCGCAACCGAATTGGGGTAACACCCACACATAACACATAGCAAGCACATGCAACCCATATTACACATTGGGAAGGGGGAGAAAGCGCATAACAAAACCTATGCGTGATCCATCACATACTAAGAATAGTCCTAAGGGGTTCATACTCCTTCCACCTAGGTCAACGGGATACCAATTCAACTAGCATGCAATATAATAGACTCATAAACCTACGAACGGTACCCGAAACATCAAACTAGACATAGGCACGATAAACGGAGTCCGTTAGGACACCACGGGGAACAGGGGAACATCAAACGGGGAAGCCGGGAACCCAAGGTGGAGGAAATTCCAGCGGGTAGCCGGTGGGTGGGGGCCACCCGCCGGCTGCCCGCCGGAAAGTACTGTTCCGGGCAGCGGGTCGCCGGCGGGCAGCTGCCCGCCCGCCGGCCACCCGCTGCCGGGCGGTGTTTCACGGCCGTGGGTAGGTGGCGGGTCCCCTACCCCCCACCTACCCCGCACTGACTCTTTTCACACAGTTTACGCCCCGGGAACCGTTGTGGAACCCGAAACCATGCTTAGACACTTTACGACGCAATTAACGACAACACGTAGACAATTAACGAATCAAATACAAGAAACGAACGGCACATAACCTATCATGCTTTTCTAAATATAATCAACACCCAAACATGCGATTTCCCCACCCGATAATCCAAGAATAAGATCATACGATACAACCTAGGGCTCTAATCACTTTTATATCAACAAGAATACGGTTCGTCTTCTAATTGCAAGATTCGATAAGAATAACACATAAACATCAAGAGCATCACACAATTATCAAGAACAACACATAATCATCAAGAACTCCATATAATCATCAAGAACACCATAATTATCAAGAATCTCCCAATATCAAGATTATCAAGATTCCCCATGGGATCATCACATCAATTACCAATAATAATCATCATAACTCGCCAATATACAATAATATGGGGAAACCCTAAGGGGGAATTATAACTATGAAAATAGGTTTTGTTGAGACATGGGTTACCTCTTAGCCTTAATTAATTCCTTGGCTATGAAGGATCTTTCTTTAAGCTTCCTTGCTTTCTTGATTTCTCCTAAGGGGATTCTTGGAGCTCTTTTGGGGTGGTGGGGCGTTAATCTTGTGGGGAGTTCTAGGTGCCTCTTAAGTCCCCTATTTATATATTTAGGAGTCCTAATTAGGAACTAATATTATAGGTTTGCTAATTCTATTCCTTTTTGAACTAAGGATTGGGCTTGGGGGTTGGGTTTATATATGAGGGCCCATGGACTATGGTGGACCTTTTTCCCTAATTAATCATTATAATTTATTCTTTCTCTTGGGCTATTGATTAATTAGTTAAATGGTTTTAGGGGTCGTAACACGGGGTGTTACAAAGGGACTTAGAGGAGTATGAGCTCGGCCACCATGGGCATGAGAAGCCCGAGCTCGACCACCAAGATACCAAGGAGCCCGAGCTCGGCCACCAAGAAACCAAGGAGCCCGAGCTCGGCCACCGAGAGCACGAACCCGGCCAACATGAGAATGAGGAGCCTGAGCTCGGACGCCACGACTATGAAAAGCTCGAGCTCGGCCACCAGCAGACCAAGGAGCCCGTGCACGGCCAGCGAGAGACTAAGGATGTGACAACCCAAAATTTTATTTTATAAATCCAATTTTAAGAAATTCCAAAATAGCAATTTTCACTCCATTAATTTTTATTTTTTTTTTGAAAAATAAATTGGTGTTTGAATAAATTATTTTGAGTACATTTTAAATCAATTCAACATCAAAACTTATTTTTAATCCAAAATCTTAAATTTTTAGGTAGTTCGCGTACCAAGTTTTAAACTGAGAAACCAATCTGAGTGAGACTGGGAGAAATTTGAACCAAGTGTTTGTTTGGAAATCATTTTTGGAAAAATACATTTTGACCCCTAAACTATTTAAAATCACCTTTCTAGTCATTGGTCCATAAAGCTTGGTAGACCACAATCATCCAACTCCTTTGTCTGATCTTCTTAGAACTACTGTAACACCCCCTAATTTTCCAAGCTAATTAGAGCCTTAAATATGCAGATATCTAAACAAAACATCAGACACAGCGGAAGACTGAAAGAGGAATATATATAAACTGGAAGTAAAAGGGGTGCTATGCCACGCTCATCCAGCGATGAACGCACATGCTAACATCTGCATAATTCAACATCTAAAACCATACATGTTCAAGTACTAAGTCTAAACTGGCTTACAGGCCACAAAGCACAAGAAAGGAGCTACACTAGCTGGCACTAAACCGCGCTCTCGTCTAAACATCACCTGAAAGAAACACATAAAAGATGGGACGACGCCTGGTCAGCGATAATGCTGGTAACCCACCAATACATATGAAATATCATACATAGATAAGATATACATTTGTAAAGTCATTTGCGAAACGTAATACATATATATAAGTTCAAAACCAAGAGTAAAGGTCAACACAAGACTCAAAGCACTCACAACAAGATAAGGGAACACATCTCA